CCTTGGAGGGCTATTCTTATTCTGATGGACACTAGGAGCTTTACATATGTTATCCTTTGCAAGACTAGTATTATTTTACACATCGGCACAATAAGCACAGAAGTTTAGCTTATGTGGCTGGTGAGTGGTGGAGCTGTAGTTTGACTTCCCAGAGATTACATTCTTTAACGACATCTGGCTACCTCACCTAGCTAACGAAGGCAAAATGACAAGCTAATAGGCTTTGACTTTACTCCACAGGCAGAGCTGATAGCCATGGTGGTCTTGGTCTGTGAGTGAGGGGAATCAGAGGTTAGCCATAGAGAGAAGTCTGGCAAGTGAGGTCAGGTGTACTGAAGAGAAAAGGTATCCGAGGTACATCACTAATTACGGAGCCATTGGGAGTTACTGCCACAGATACCCTGAGCTGTACTCAAAATATGCATGGAAAGCGTGAGGAGTCCCAGAAATGTGTGGTTTGAGCCACTCATGGGCAGGAGCATGGGGAATATAGCAAGTCCTGGCCCAGAAGCAATACCGACCAAGTAACCACTTCCTGTGCTGCACAGAACTTGGGGAATTTATGGAGAGAAGACATAGCAACGCCTTGAAGAAAGGCCTGGAAATGATATTTAAAATAGTAATCCTTTTAACTGACCAACTGAAAATAAGGACAGAGAAAATAAGTTAACAAGGTAGGGATGGTCATTTAAAGATTTCTTCATTCATCCCAAATCCAACTATTCATCATGTGCTGAGGACTATGCTATCCACGTGTGATGATTAAAAAAAAAAAAAGTCCCTGTTTAAGAACAATGTAAGCCTGTAAAAGGGGGAAGGGAAGTGAGTAGGTGGCGTGAGTTCTTGTGTTAATCTTACACCTAGTTTAAGGAGGTCCCAAGCTAGAGGAGTCTCTAGGGGACTGGCAAAATCAAATGCAAATCCCTTCTGGAGGAAGGCAATTTCATCCTAGGCTTCAAAGAGTTCCTATGAATCACTTTCAAGGGCAATGAACAGCATAAAGTAAGAAAATGTTGTTCACATAGAAATGAGGTAGCATGAGCAAGAACTAGTAAAAATAACTGAAAGCAGTGACAGTCCCAACAGAAACTACAAAGCAACAAATAAGTTTACCATGTGTAAAGAAACAAATGAAAGTCTGAGAGAATCTTCCACAGAATATTTTTTTAAAGATTTCACTTATTTGAGAGAGAGAGAGCAATCAGGGGGAGAGGGGCAAAGGGAAAGGGAAAGTGAGACTCTCAAGCAGACTCCCCGCTGAGCATGGAGCCCAATGTGGGGCTCGATCTCACCACCCTGAGATCACGGCCTGAGCCCATATCAAGAGTCAGATGCTCAACAGACTGAGCCACCCAGGCGCCCCTTCCAGAGAAGATTTTTTAAACAGTGACCTAACAGATTGGTAAAATAACCAAATAAAATATCTAGTAGTAGTAGCTGTAATAATAATTACTGCTATATAATATAGAATTATAATAAAAAACCAGAATTAAAACTTCAATAGGTAGACATATTAAAGAAGAAATTAGTGAGTGAATTGTAGATCAGAAGAAATTTTACAGAATGTAGCACAAAAATATAAAAATATGGAAAACATGGAATAGAGATGTGGAAGATGAAGTGAGAAGGTCTAATGTATGTCTAACTGAAGCCCCAGAAGGAAAGACAGAATGTGGCAGAGGCTAAGGATTTTCCTGAAGGAAAGACAACAACCCACGACTTTAAGAAACCTGACTTAATTTTGATAAACACCACCTGTGCTCTTCCCCATCAAGACAAAGAGAAATAAGGGGTCATCTTGCTTTCAACCTCAGGTAGGCTAAGCCTCTCCTTAGAATCCATGTTTCTTCTGAGAACTTTAGATATCACCTCTCCCTTTCACTAAAGTTTTGTAAGGAAAATTCAGCCAAATCCCTAAATGAGTCCAGCAATCTCTGGCACCACCAGAAAACAAGTTTGCAATTTCAAGGGGAAAAAAACAACAAGGAAACAAAGAGATTATCATCACCATCCCTGAACAAGATATGCTGAAATCACTGAACTGTTTCCACATCAGTCTTGAGGAAAAACAGGTAATGTCAACACATCCCTGCGTAAAGCCCCTTTGTTCAGGAGTCTTGCTTCTTGTTGATCTATATAGAAGACAGAAAATGGAGAAACTTGTTTTTGTGTATAACAAAGAAAGCAACAGAAAATTGCCATTGGCTTTCTCCAAGGGCCCACAATTTCTGGTCCAGAGGAAGTAATAAAATTGTCAGAATATCCCTTCTTGCTACAAGGCTTGGTCATCAGTTCTGAGCATAATTCTGCTGTCCAGCTGTCCCTCTCCAATCACCAACTAAGGCCTGAGGCTAAGTCCCTTCTCCCCTCAAGCAGAGAGTAAGAACAGTGTGGCCACACCTGGGTGTGGTAAAGCAGAGCCTCTAACACAAAAACCATGTGTGAAACCTTTTCTTGGTTCTTGGTGCCTTAGCCTCTTGAGATTTCTACACCTTGCAATCAAAATAATGAGAGGATTTAATTCAGGAAGGGTAAAGTGTTACCCAAAGACTAGATGTGACTGCAATAGGTGTCCCAATTACAGTGTATTAAATGATAGAGAGGTTTGTTTTTCTTTTCCTCAAAGTCTAGAGCAAAAGAAAAGGGCTGCCAGGACAAGCTTTGCTCCCTGAAGTTGTCAGGGGCTCAGCCCTCTGCCCCCTTCCTGCTCTGCATCCTAGCCTGCCATCTGATAACCCAAGATGCCTGCTTGAGTTCCAGCCATTATGACCAAATACCTATCAGCAAGAAGGGGGGAAAAAATAAAGGACACACCACGCTTCCTCCCTTAAGAACACTTTCAGAAGCTGACACACTACATCTGCTTACAAACCATCGACCAGAATTTAGCCACAGGGCCATTTCTAGAGGGAAAAGAAAGTTTACTCTTAACTCTGGTGCCAACCCAGCTAAAAACTGGTGGAGAAGGGAGGCTACTATTGTGGAAGAAGAAGAGAAGAGATATTAAGGGACAACTCTCGGTTTCTACCACACAAAAAATATCCCTAATGCTGTCAGCCCATCACAGCTAATTTTATGACACATAAGTACAAATAAATGCGTTGGAGAGATCAGTAAAAAGCACAATGATTAGATTCCATGAACTTTGCTAAGTGTTTTTTGCATACTAACTCATTAGAACTTCACAACTCTATGATGCAAGCACTGCGATCACCCTCATTTTAGCAAGGATGCAACGACGGGAAAGGGTTAAATCATATCCCCAGATTACACTGCTAGAAAAGGCAGAAGCCAGAGTCAAATCCAGTCAGCGTGGCTCCACAGTTCTTGCTTTTAACTACGAAGTAATACTGTTTCTCACACTTTTTTTTTTAATTAATTGAATGTGTGTGTGTATGTGTGTGTATTTAAGGCAACATTTTTATGCACTGGGAGAAAACATCCAATTAAGTGGCTATTGCCTGTAACATAAGGGAGCTTGATTTTGTAAGCCTAAACTATTAAACTATGGCATTTCAATAAATGCCTTTTAAGACACTGTAATATGTATGCATAATAGAGGGTTTAAGAGCTAGCGTTTGCATAATTACACCTCCATGTGCTTACAGACAGTAATTTCAGGCAACGAGCTGTTGAAACCGATCAAGAAGCAGCCAGGCCCCAGGTCAGGGTGCTCATAATCAGAACTAATTAATGAACCATGCCCTTTCTGGGCATCATGAATTAAAAACTGTGGTTGAGCAATTAAAATTCCAATCTTCACTTGCAAAAAATGAAAAGGCGGGGCAGGAGAGCCGTAAGGAGTGGTCTTCAAACCAATAATCCACCAAGTCACTTTCAATATGTTTCTGGTTTGTCATCTCAAGGACGAGCAGTTGCAAAGCTTTCAAAAGAACCTTCAGCAGAGCCCAAGTTTGTGAAGGCCCCAAGTTGCCACAATTAAATCTTTGTTGAGGCGGCCAGATGACATTTGAAAGGAAAAGCACACACAGGCTACTAATGAGGAAATGCTTGAGGCAAATCCAATCAGCTCTCCAACTAGGCTGGTTTCTGAGGAGCCCGCGAGTCCCTCTGACAAGTGCGAGTCTTCTTAAAAATAACAACAAAAACAACAGAAAAAAGGATTTCCAGATTACAGGAAGAAAAAGAAATACTTCATTACTCTGAGCGAGGTGAACACAAAATGTGCATTTTCTAATGTGATTAAGGCGAGAGGGGACCAGCTGGAGGCAAGAAATCTGGGCATTCGGACCGCGGGTGAAGCTTTCAGGTTGGGGACAGGTTGGTGACAATGCGATTTGCTGACAAAATGCCATGTAAGACTTTCCCTTCATGGCATTTTCCTAGGCCATCTCAGGGAGGAAAGGAGCAGAGGGGGTTCATCAATGATCTCAATCAAGAAATGATGAGCGAAGGAATACAAGCTTCTTGGAGGATATAGCTAACCTCTCGGGAAGTGGAGTCGTGAGCTGGAAAGAGAACTGGCCGTGGGAGTCGGGGACCAGGGTTACAGTTTCAGCTCTGCCACTAACTAGCTCTCCAGCCCCAGGCAAGTCACTGCCCTTCCCGGACCTCATTTTCCTTACCTGTCAAGGAGCGAAATAAAAGTCCCTACCCTTCAAACATTCTATAATTCCTTGGGAAGCTGTCTCTTCTGACAATATATTTAAAAAAAAAAAAAGGTTTCTTTTCTTACCTCATCTTGCTGTTTGTGTCTTCACCAACAAACAGCTCTGTTAAAATGTGTGCCACAATCTTAGTCCTTAGGTAGATGCATCTTGTGACTTTTTACCAAACTCTACAGGCATCTGACAAATGTGACAATAAGTCTATGTTGAGATTATGTACTCAAGTTACTTTTTCTTTGATTTGGCAGAGTTGTCTAGAAGAATCATTATTCTCATTCACTTACCAATATTTATTTCTCTTCCATTCTGCCAGGGGGAGGGGTCCTTCAAGGTAGGATTTTTTTTTTTAAGATTTTATTTATTTTTTGACAGAGCGAGACACAGCGAGAGAGGGAACACAAGCAGGGGGAATGAGAGATGAAGAAGCAGGCTTCCTGCTGAGCAGGGAGCCCGATGTGGGGCTCGATCCCAGCGCCCTGGGATCATGACCCGAGCCGAAGGACTGAGCCACCCAGGCGCCCCTCAAGGTAGGATTTTAAGAGACATTTGAAGGATGACCCAAAGGCTCTCGTGAAGTCATAAGCACATTCTGGGAGAGGGTACTGAGTTTTAATGATTGGCGTCAGGAGTAAGATAAACTGGTTACGAATTTCTTGAGTAATTGTTGGCCTCCTATTAAAAATCTATCTCAAAATTATCCTATTTTAGACAGTACAGTTATTCGATGTAATCTGCCTTGATTCTTCAATGAAGCAAGATTATTGCCCCCAGAGAAGCCTCCAGAGACCCAAGGGGAGTATCCTATCCCCTAAGTCCTACCACCACTCAGAAACACACTGACTGGTTTGGTTATCCATTAATACAATAAACATTTAATAAGTTCCTGCTATGGGCAGGGCCCTGAGTGTTGGAGTTATCCCAGTCAACAAGACAGGCTGGGTGCCCACCCTCGAGGTGCCCGCACTGAGGTGCACATGTGCCTGTTGCGGGGGGAGGGGGAACATCAGGCCAATAGATAAATATAGGGCACTGCTCTGAAAGAGACACACACCAGAGGCCTGGAGTCTGTCCCAGTTCACACAGAGCCCCTCACTAGCTGGCTCCTGCCTGCCTCTTATTGTCATCTCAGCTGACTGACCACCTCTTGGTCTCCACAGTTCACACACCAGCCACAAAGAAATTCTCTTTCTTTTTTTTTTTTAAAGATTTTTTATTTATTTATCTGAGAGAGAGAATGGGAGACAGAGAGCATGAGAGGGGGGAAGGTCAGAGGGAGAAGCAGACTCCCTGCCGAGCAGGGAGCCCGATGCGGGACTCGATCCCGGGACTCCAGGATCATGACCTGAGCCGAAGGCAGTCGCTTAACCGACTGAGCCACCCAGGCGCCCCTGGTTTTACCAGGTTTTTTTTTTTTTTTTTTTAAGATTTTATTTATTTATCTGAGAGAGAGAATGAGAGACAGAGAGCATGAGAGGGAGGAGGGTCAGAGGGAGAAGCAGACTCCCTGCCGAGCAGGGAGCCCGATGCGGGACTCGATCCCGGGACTCCAGGATCATGACCTGAGCCGAAGGCAGTCGCCCAACCAACTGAGCCACCCAGGCGCCCAAAGAAATTCTCTTTCATTCTCTGAACATGCCACGCTTGCCCTCTCCTGCCTCTGTTCTTTGCACATGTGGTCTCTTCTGCATGGAAACCTGTCTGGAAAACATTCCTCTCTACATCCTGTAAGCCTTAGTTCAGGTAAAACCTCCTCCCTAAGTCCTCCCGATATGCCTTCCTTAAGCTCCAGCCGCGCCTTGCGATCTCCACTGATATGACCAGCATCAGGACATGAACATTATGAGGATGGCCTATGCCACGCAAGGCACTGTGCTCATGATCTGACACACACTTGAGCACTTACACATCACAGTTCTTTCTTTGTACACAGGTCTCTCCGGTGGAAGCATGAGGTCTTCAAAGTTGAGTGAATACTCTACAGTAGAAGTGAAAACTCTAGACTCTGGAGCCACATTACATAGTCTCAAATCTTGCCTCTGCCACCTATGGTGGGCAGTGAACTGGGAGGTTACATTTCCTTAATCTTTCAATGCCTCCGTTTGTCCACCTGTAAAATGGGGATAAATAGGAGTGCCGGCTGGTGGATCAAATGACCTAATACACACAGAGGGCTCAGGACTGTGTCTAGCACATGGTAAGTGCTCATCAGTGTTAGAAAAAAGGAAAACTTGGTATCCACATCTATAGCCAAGCAATTAACACTACGTCCGGCTGTCAAATATGGAATTGTTGAGCAAATGAATGACAATGTTAACAGGATCTCCAAGATAGAATTTTTCACAGATTTGTTCTTGAGGAGGAGTCATAACTGATCAGCAGAGGCCAGAGAATACCTGTCACTTGTCCAAGGTTTTAAGACAAAGAAGCAACAGACGAAGGTCAGAAATCCATTTCCTCTATCCTGTAGAATGGGGGTTAGCAAGCTTTTTCTGGAAAAGGCAAGACAGAAAATTTGGCAGGTTCTGTGGACCTTTCGAGTCTCTGCCACAATTATCCGATTCTAGCATGAAAGAACCACAGACTACATGCAAACAAATCAGTGTGACAATGACATTTTCTTTACAAAAACAGGCAATGGGCCCGATTCAACCTGGGAGCTTTAGAAAAGTAGCAATAACTACTTACTATGACTTACTTACTATGCATCGGGCCCCACTTAAAATGTCTGAGGTCTACTAGCTTATTTAAAAGCAATTCTATGGGGATGCCTGGGTGGCTCAGTCGGTTAAGCGGCTGCCTTCGGCCCGGGTCATGATCCCAGGGTCCTGGGATCAAGTCCCACATCGGGCTCCTTGCTCAGTAGGGAGCCTGCTTCTCTCTCTCTCTCTCTCTCTCTCTCTCTCTCCCTCTGCTTGTGCTCTCTCTGTCAAATAAATAAAATCTTAAAAATAAATAATAAAAAAATAAAAGCAATTCTATGAAGTAGGTTTATTATTATGCCTACCTGACAAGCAAGGTGAGTGTGGCATGGAGGCTGGAGAGACTTGCCCAAGGTCTCAGAGCAGAGATTGGCAGAGCTGGGATCTGGACTGATGCAGTCCAGCTCCAAAGTGTCCAGTCCTGATCACTAGAAAGTGAACGAGCTCTTTCCTTGCGCTCTCTATGCCTCCACATGTGGCCAAATGCTCCTGCCTGAGTTCTGTTTATCCAGCCATGAACAGTTTAGAAATCATGCTTTTCAAACACCATTTTGAGTGTGAGATATCTTCCACAGATTCCTTTTCTCATATTGAACCCAAATCTCACTCCTATAATTTGGATTCACTGATCATGGCTCTCCTCTGCAGAGATATAAAAAGCATCTTGAGTGTCGTCTAAACTAGTAATACTTAAGTGTTTGGCTTTCTATAAAGAAAAAGATAAGCCAGATTACAAAGAGACTGGCACGACTGGTCCCTTGCTCATCTGGCATCCAGATGTTATAGGGTCCCTGTCTACATTCTCTCAGAGCCTAAAGGTGGTAATGGATGAACTTAATGTGTGACAGGCATGACAGATGTTACTTTTACTTCAGGCCCCTAGATAAAGCTGGAAGAGGTACCCAATGCCTTAGATGACAAAACTAAGATTTTAAGAGTTTTACACAGGCCCCAAATTAATAGGGATAAGATGGAACATGCTGTCATTGCGTATTCAAAATAAGCATCACTGTAGCATGTAGGAGAGGAAGAACTGTATTATAGTTAATGTGAAGGAAATTTCTAGGGATTTCCATGACTATGGCTGCCATAATAAATAGGACATTAGGCTCCATTGATAGAGGTAGGTGATCACAAAAGGAGAGCCCCTCTTTATCACCTTGATTGGTCCATACCTGAAACCCTCATAGGTTGGACAATGTTTCAGATTTATCTATTTTTATTTTAGAGAGGGAGAGAGAGTGTGCACACGGTGGGGGGTAGGGAGAGGGGTAACAGGGAAGGGCAGAGGGAGAGGGAGAGAGAAACCCAAGCAGACTCCACGCTGAGCACAGACCCGGATGCGGGACTCGATCTCACAACTCCAAGATCAGACCTGAGCTGAAACCAAGAGTGGGATGCCCAACCGACTGCACCACCCAGGTGCCCCAGGTTGAACAATGTTTACATGAGGGTAAGAAGGATGACCAGGTTGTTGAAAGGTTCAAGTAACAAAGAAAATATAAATTAAATGAGAGACCTTAGAGCACAGAAGGAAAGAGTCTGGAGTCTGATTGCTGGGGTCCAATTCCTAGCTCTCCTATTGCTGAGCTCTGTGTCCTTAAGCAGATTACTTAGTTTCCCCGTGGGTTAATTTTTTCACCTATCTCAGAGGATTGTTGTGAGGACAAGGTGACTTAATACAAGTTAAAAAATGTACAGGTAACTTGGCATAGTAAACACCATAAGGGTCAGTTACCATTATCAGGAGTGAGCCTCGGAAAGAGATTGATGGGACCTAACAAGTGGTGGGTTGGGCGAAGCTCACTCTGTGTTTCTCTGCAGGGTAGAGCCACAGTTCGTGAATACAAATTATTGGGGTAAAATTTGGGTAGGGAGTTCCCTATTGCTCGTGACATTCAAGCAGAAACCAGAGGAGATATGTCCCATGTGGCAGAAAGGATTTGTCTCCTCTGTGGGAGGACATATTGTTTTCTAAAATCCCCTCAAGTTATCATGTTCTATGTTCCTTCTGGAATGTGGGTGATTAAGATGTCTACTCCAAAGACTACAATACAGTGAGGACACGTCATGGTTGTATACCAATAAAATCATGCCATCCACTTCTTTACTCTTATGTGCTTATTAGCTATATATGACTTACATGACACTGGGACAGTTTGTTGAGTCTTAGAATCTTCACCTGTAAAACGGGAACACAATACATTCCTTAGGCCATACGATGTAAAACTTTAATAAATGAGCTCCAGGCAAAGGATCTGGGTTTAAATCCCAAATCTTCTACTTCTAAGCTGGGCTTCTTTGAGCAAGGTATGCAATCTCCCTGTCACTCAGTTTCCTCACCTGATAATAACAGGACCTATCTCAAAGACTTGTTATGAGGATTAAATAATTTTTAAAAATGTATACAGGGCCGGGTATACAGCTGGGTGGCTCAGTCGGTTGAGTGTCCAACTCTTGGTTTCGGCTCAGGTCATGATCTCCTGGTCAAGGGATAGAGCCCTGCATCCTGCTCCCTGCTCAGCGTAGAGTCTGTTTCCCCTCTTCCTCTCCCTCTGTCCCTCCCACCGTTCTCTCTCTCTCTCTTTAAAATAAATAAATAAATCTTTAAAAAAAAATGTATGCAAAGCTCTTAGAACAGCACCTGGCACATACTTTGCACTCATATTTAACTATTATTACCATTATGTTGTTGTTGCTCTTCTGAGATTTAAATGAGAAAATGCATTGTGGGGACACCGATCTCTTTTCTAACTATAGGTGCTGTCAAAATCATCAATGCTTGAAAGTGTCATTTCATTATAGATTCACTGCATATACATTAAGCC